GATGTGGCACTTGGGGGACATGGTCAGTGGTGGCCTTGGCAGCGCTGGGGAATGGTTGATGATCTTGGAGGGCTTTTCCCACCTGAGCAATTCTGTGAATGCAGACATGGAAAGGGACCATGCCTGGCACATTCCAGCCATGCTGCACATGTAACCTGTGCAGGTCAGCTGACCTCACAGTGTATGGAGTGCAGTGGCTGCAGGAGCCAGGACATCTTCCTATGCCCCTCCTGCCAGGATAGCAATGACAAACAACCTCCAAAAGGGAGGCAGGAATGTTCTGATCAAAAGGGCCCAAGCACAAGGAAAAAAAGTTTACCTCTGTTTAGAGCACCAGAACCTGGTGCCCTTAGCAGAGCTCCATTCAGAGTTGCAGGGTGGGAACTGCTGCTTCCTCTGCTCACTTTCTGCTTGGAGCTTGAGAGCTTCCTCGATGGCAGCCTCAGCCTGCCTCAGGGCTTCTGTTGGGGCACCATCCTCATCGTAGTACCTGCCCACCAGCTTCCCTGGGAGAGATCAATTCAGACCATAGTGTTTCCCAGCAAGGAAGATGCATAGTTCAGGGTTTTATTTTATTTTTAATTTGTTAAAGACAAAAAAGGGAGGATGCCACTACGGCCCAATTTTAGAACCGAACTGAGCTTACATCCCTTCCATTCTTGGATCACACAGCAATTTACCCACGTTAATAAATCCATGCAGGACAAGCTTAGGCACAGACTCATTAATGATCAGAAAGCCAAAGCTGCTTTCAGCTGCAGAATACAGAAGCCTTTCCCACCCATGCACCTCATTCCCCAAAACAGTTTCCCTGCACTGCTGCTCCTACAGCCTCCTGAGTGCTGATGATTTCAGTCCTCACCGTGCTGGCTCCATGCCTTCTGCCCAGCAGACACCAAACAAAAAGCAGGGCAGGGTGCTGCAGCTCCCAGCCCAGCTGGGAAAACTTCACTTTAGGGGGAAGCAGAGCTCAAAGTGCATCTGGCTGAGCAGCAGCTCCAGCTGGTCACTCAGGTTTCAGTGCCCTGCAGACCCTCACCAAGGTGACACACTAGATGAAACCTGTGCTGAACCACCTTCCATCGCCCACCTCCACACCCTGTCCCTCGCTGAGCCCACCCAGGCCACCACCACCACCTACCCACGGGCTCGTAGTTGTCTCTGTAGAAGCTGAGCCAGCCGTGGATGGCGAGCAGCTCGCTGGGCGTCAGCGCAGAGACGTCATCCACCAGCCCCGCGGGGCTGAAGTCGCCTGTGGCAAACGCTCTGCTGGCATCTCTGCCTGCAGGGCAGGATCCCGGGTGAATGTCTCAGCCAGGGGTGAGCCCCCAGCCCTGGAGTGAATGCCCCAGCCAGGGTGTGAATTCCTTAGCCAAGGGGAGAGACCCTTAGTCATGGCATGAACTCCCCAGCCAGGGGGTGAATTCCTTAGCCAGGGGTGAGCCCCCAGCCATGGAGAATTCTCCAGTGGAGTACAAGCACCTAGCCATGGAATGAATTCCTTGGCCAGGGCATGAACTCCTACCCATGGAGTGAATTCCCCAGCCAGGGGATGAATCCATCAGCCAAGGGAGTAAATCCTTCAGCCATGGAGTGAATTCTCCAGCCATGGAGGATTCTCCAGTTAGAGGATGAGGCCTCAGCTATGGAGTGAATTCCTGGGCCAGGGGATGAGCCCCCAGCCAGGGGGTGAATCCCTCAGCCAGGGGTGAGCTCCTAGCCCAGGGGCGAATTCCTTAGCCAAGGGGTGAGACCCTTAGTCATGGCATGAATTCCAGGACCAGGGGATGAGCTCCCAGCCACGGAGAATTCTCCAGTGGAGTATGAGCCCCCAGCCATGGAGTGAATTCCTGGGCCATGGAGAATTCCCCAGCTAGAGGATGAGGGCTAAGCCATGGAAGGAATTGC